CATGAAAGTTTTTTTCTTGTAGGGAGGTAGTAAAAAAATTAGGTCTGTACTCCATAAACATGCCCTCCCATTTCAACAAGTGACTTATTAAGTTAGCTAAAGAACTTGAAAAAACACAAGAACCATGATCAAACTGTTCAACATTGCAAACTTAATTTTTGTATATAAAAGCATGTGTAAAAGAGATTATATTAATATGTACTTTAAATCAGAAAACGAAAAGTACATGAACTAAAAATGTTAAAATGTCCTCTGCAAAGATAATTATTCTGGAGTTAACCTGTAGGTATGAAAAATTTGCATAACATAACCTTAAGAAAAAGACTGAAAAAAAAAATATATATATATATAGTAGGACTTTGTAAGACCCTTTATTTACATTAACCATAACATATACTTAAATATACCAAAAATACAGGGTAACCATACACCAGAAAAGATATAAAATTCAAAAACTACAACTGCATGAAAATACTTTAACCATCACTCAGGACCTAATGATCAGTAACATTTAGTCATTGACGTTTTTCAAATGACTGGGTAAAAATAATGCCACTATTTGTCAGATTTGATGTCGATCATAGATGTATAACAAGTGTTAACTAGATATACACACATTAACAAAGAAAACATAAAGATAAATTTAGTATCAAGCTGAAATAATTGTCCACACTAAAACAGAAATGGAAGCACTTAATAACAAATTATCAGTATATTGTTTTTATCAGTTTTGAATGTATGCTTTAAAACTTTACTTCTAATAAGTAAAAGCAGTTATTGAACAAGTGTTTAAACTTTTTGTTGTTTTTTTGTTTTGGTAGCAGAAGTGATTACACTGAAATCTTGAGTAACATAAATAAAAGATAATAAATCATAGAGAAAATACAAATTTACAAATTCCAAAGAGAGTAAATTTAATTCATTAACAAACATCGTTTATTTGAAATGTTCTTGTGGCAAAATATTGAACAATAAGAAAATACATGTCTAGAGTTGAAAATACTTAACTTCATTATTTTTTGTTATTATTACTTATAAAGAAGTCACTAAGTTTTTCCCACAATAACACCACAACCAAAAATACTAATAAGAGCTTATTCAAACAACTAGTCATATAGAAAAGAAAAAATAGGTAAAAATTTCTATCAATTTGTAAGAAAGTACAATATATATATTTTTTTCTTCCATTTTGAAAGGTTGAAAGCCCTCTGTGTTCTGAATGAACAGTTGGTATATGAAGATGTATTCACTGAGGTATGTGATATGCTAAGAATTGTACAAAATTATACTTTTCTTGAGTAACATTTTATTGTAAGACATATATAACCAAACTTAGAAGTATTTACTTTCTTTAAATCAGTTTCCCTGTATAAATAAATGGCTATTGGAACTTTTTTGGATATATTAGAGACCAAAAGTTTGAGGTAATAACATAAGTAATAATTTAAATACAAGTAACTTCATCATAGTGTGCACATTTTAAAATGATTAGTAAAATCTACAGTTATGTTAGATTTTTTTCCATCAAGATAATGTACTTGGATCTCTTATAAAATTCTGACTGACAAGTTGTGTAAGAAAGTTTTGTTAGCAAGATATCTTAGAAATGAATTAACACTATTGTTTCTTTCACATTAAATTAAATGTAGTGCAACGTTTTTTGTGTAAAAAAAAGTTAAGCATTCATAATGGTATGATTTATAGATTAGCTGATGAGTCTTCAATTTTAACAAAAATAAAGTACAAATGTGAAAAATGTTTTGCACAATAGTAGATTCAAATAAAGATACTTAACTAACTCATTAAACTATTATCCATTAGGCTTTTTTCTTGTGACACTCATTCACTAAATATCTCACTTCATGAGAGGCTATCTCCAACAATCTGAGCCTGTATTTTCATGTCCAGTATAGTCATATTTTGTATATGTCTGCTTCAGAGATCAGTTTTCAGCTATAGATCTCACTTGGAAAGATGGATTTAATATTTTCTTCAGTCAGGTGTTACAGAAAGTTTCACTTGTCATGTTTATTACTGAAACCAAAACATCTGCAAATTAATTATTTTGCCCAATTTTTTCTGTTTTATAAGGCTTTGATTCATCTTCATGTAGAAAGGTTCCTTTACACATATCCTTAGGATACAGGTTTTGTTTTCAGTAACCATTTTCTTCATAGTAAGGCTATTGTAGTACTTACTTTGAAGCCTTTACTGTCATATTCTCATACTCAGACAATGGGTCTATTTCTGACACTTCATAAAGTTAATCCAATGTTCTTGTGATTTTTCATGATTGCATTTTTATTTTTTTTCCACATCCATCTAGCCTGAAGTGTCTGAGAATTTCAAAGCAAATTTTTGAACATGCTGTTTTTCCTTATGAGAATTTTGACATAGCTTCTTTTCACACTTTGTCCTAGGAGTTGATGATTGTTTCTTTTGTTACTGCAGAGTTTGTTCCCCTGCATATTGCCTATAGTATTCTCTTTATTGAGCTTGAAGCCTTGTTTTAGCCCTTCCTTTTTCACTCATATTTACTTCAGCTGATATTCTTGTTGGATAAGGCTTCTCAGTACAGGTTGCATTCTGACCAATATTCTCTCCACCTCTATGTCAGTTTGTTCCTTTTGATGCTTTTTTCAGCCTCTACTATTAGAAGCAAAGCATTTTAATATATTCACTTGTTACTGGGATGCTGCCACTTTATGAGGCTATGTCTATAGTTCCTTTGTCTAATAGGTCTTTTGGTTTCCTTGTTGCTACAGGATGTTTTGTGTTCAGTTACCTTTAAGAACTTTTTCTACTATGTAGAGACTTTCTGAGAACTTGCTTTCTTTTTATCATTGTTGACTTTGTCATCAGGGATTGTACATGTTTGACAAGAATCTTTTAGCATGAGGTTCTCTTTTATCTTAAATTCAACTCTCAATTCTTTTTTTTCCATGAGTTGCACATGTCCTCATCTCTTCAGTGTTTGCTTAAGTCCAATTACGTTTAGAGAATAGGGCTGTTTCTACTTCTTTCTCTTTTTAGTCACCAAGATATTCCTAGGTGCTGGCTTGCCAAATCAATCCTTCCAATTTGATGATAATTTCACTTGGATCCCAGTAATCAAACTTCCCATCATTGATCCGTTTATGTCCTAAAGTAATCTGTTGCCATCTTCAAGGACCTAGTCCATTGTTTGGTTCATAGGAAGGAATAGCTTTTTTTGTATATCTGAATTAGAATCTTTTGTTTTGGATACTTCAGATACTTTCTTTTGACATTTATTTTCAGAATCAGTCATCCACTCTACTTCTTTCTTATCATTCACATTCCTTTCTTGCACTTCCAGATGCCATCTGAGTATAACTTCTGGTTTGTTAGGTCTGTAGCCTTTTCATTAAGAAAGCCATTAAAATAGTTCTTGATGAACTTTGGGAAAGATATTCTCAACTATTTCTTGTTTCAAAACACCAGGCAACTGTAAACTTATTACTTTTGAAGTTTTCAGTTCCAGTCAGGTTGTAGAGTTTTTCCAGTGTTAGTGTATAATAAAATTCAACATCATCAATGCTTATTTTCACATCACCATTTAGTTGGATTTGTAGAAGTTTCTCTGTTTTATATATGGCGGGGTGATACAACAGTTTTGGGGACTGATCCTGGGTAGTTCATTTGTTTGCTGTTTGCTTTCACTGTCTCTGGATTTTTGTAACTTCATGAATGAATACTAATATTGGCAGAGGCAGAGGAAGCTTCCTGTTTCTTGAACTTAGCTGATAGAGCTGTGGTGATACAATATATGGGCCATGATACAATTTATGATTTAGTATCAATTGATTTAAATAGTGCAACAACCTGCAGGGTAATCAGTTTATTACATTTGATGAGCAGATTAAGATCTGGTAAACTTGATGTTAAAATTATAAGTACTTTGAGTAGAATAGTGACTGTGCTAGTTTCTAACAATAAACTTAAGGAATGGCACTTTAATTCCAAGCCCAGTAATGCTGGGATGTTGGCAAGGGTCATGCTTCAGTGGTCATAGGCTTATCTGTACATGTACAGCAAGGGACTGAGCACACCAACCATTTTGGTAGTCAATTTCACATGTCCTTCAGGGGTGACTAGTACTGACTGGCCCATGTATCGTGAGATCCATGATAAACTGGTTACAATATGATACAGGTATTACAGGACAAAATACTATGATGTATTGGTGCATCGTAAATCGTAACAGTATTATTAGAAATTTTCTTCACAAGTGGATTAATTAGTCAAGCTTTCCAAGTCTTTGCTTTGCTTAATTTATTATACATCAATGAGGTTTCATCAATACCAACTTGAGTTCATCTGCAATCCTAGTATCCTTTGGAACAGCAAATTTGTACTGTTTTTATTTCTTCTCATTTGTCTGATCATCAGGTTGTATAATCTTATGTGTGTGTGTGTTTGTGACTCTGTCTTCTGTAGAGAAATTTCTTTCTCTTAAATATGCTCTCTTAGATTCACTTCATTGATGCTTGGCAGACCAGTGGACACTGTCCAAACATATACAGAATGCTAAAGTGTTTCTTCCTCATGCAGTCTTGGGCTCTGTGTGTTAGCGTATTCTCAACATGGGCTTGGTCAATCTGACCAATCGAGTGACCTCTTTGTACTTGTTTAAAGTCTTTATAGATTTAATACTTCTAACTTTCAATATAAAGTGTATATCTTCACAAAATTTCGCAGTCTTTCAGTTAACATTATGTCTTTCATTTACAAAAAATCATATTTTTTTTAGTGAGGTATTTTTAATAAACTAATACAAAAATTTGTCCATTAATATATCGAGTATTTGTTTTGAATAGTCCGTACGCAAAGTAATTTTCATTTTACAATTAAAAATACCTTTCTTCATCTCAAAAATCTCAAATTTTCTTTG